CCCCCCCCCCCCCCCCCCCCAGGTTGCTTCCTCCTGGTACAGCCGTTCGGATGCCGTGCCAGTTAGATTAAAAGGGCATCGAATCTTAAGAGTTCAACATTATACAAACTGGTTATAGGTTGTTGTGTTGTTTTTTTTCCCTCCTGGAAAGGGGCTGGGGTTAAAACCATTCTATTTTATGCGACTTTAATCTTGTGAGACTTTTGTAAGAGGCCCGTTGGCCTCGACGGGGCGTGCTTTAGAGCCTGTTTCCAGAAACCATGAGGTCTAGAAACCTGGAGCTGGATTCGAACGGGAGCTGGATTCCAGGCCCGCTACGTAAAACTGTACCTTAAACGCTTGTGGTTCCGCTCACAACTCCGTGTACTTTATAGTTTAGTGCCTTACCATGCGTTCCCAGGGGGGTGGGTGTGTGTTGAGGCTCCCTGAGCCGCGAGTTAGAACCTACCCTTGGAAGCTAACTACAACGCACGGCGGAGGCTTCCCGGCTCGTCCGGGGTTGAGCCTGCAATGGGTTCCAGGGTCTTGGAAGAAGCATGGTTTCTGTGGGTTTGTAGTCTCTTAAGAGGCTGTTGCCTCGTTATTAAACTCTTTCCTTTCCTTTGAAAGTTGTGATTGTGTGCTCCTGTAATTTAAAAAAACAAACAAACAAAAACACGTTTGTGTGTGTGTGTTGTTAAAGTTAGACAATCGCGGGAGGTTTCTTAACGTACGAAACGGATGGATTTTTAAGACCCTTTTTGAGCATAGATTTATTTTATAAAGCCCGCTGAACATTTCCTCCAATGTCGTAGATGGAGGAAGAGATTTGGATTGGGAAGTTGGAAGAGGAAAATCTTCAGGCTGGATGGGAAGAGTAAAAGTTTGCAGCGAGCTAGGTAAGTCGGTGAGCGTCCTCCCCTACTAACGCCTAGAATTTGGGTTTACTAATTCGGCGCAGCAGGACACGCTTCCCTCCCCACACTTCACTAGATCTAGGAAATCTGCCCCCCCTTAAAAAAAAAACACGTTAAGTTTACCCCACTTTCCCTATAATCTCCCGCCCCCCTCGCGCATAAAACAGCTCTGTTGTGCTTCAGTTTTAAGGACGTTTTACTTTCTCCGAATAACATTTTCACCACAAAACAGCTACAGGATGAGGTATTCAAGAAGAGAAAACTTTGGTATAAAATGTACAGCTTTCGTTCCAGCTTTTTTTGGTCTTTCCGCTTTTCTTGTTTACAGGCAAAGGGGAGGGGGGGAAAAAGAGACTTTGGTTTTTCTTTTCTTTTAAAAGTCAGCACGGTTGACAAACGAAGGAGAAACATTCAATTCATTAATAGATAGTAATGCACTGCTTTGATTTAAAAAAAACAACAATGGGGGGGGGGGACGACACCACTCAGCTTACGCTGGCCAGGGAGTGAAGAGGAAGGGGGAGTAAATCTTAATTTTGAATGGCAGGGTAGTCTTTTAAATATCTTTTATTCCAGTGGTTCTCAACCTTTTCTTCGTTCTCCCCCCCCCTTTTAAATACCCATTGTAGCCACGGAGCCCACCCCACAAATACTTAAGATTTAAATCATAACATTTCTTCCAGCCTTCGTGCCCCGTGACGACACCATAGCCCTTCCTCCCCAGGGTCCACAGACCACAGGTTGAGAACCACTGTTTTATGCTGTACAAAAGTTTTGCCTGTTTATCTCTGCCCTGTAAAGCAGAGGAATAATTATTATTTTAAAAAAATCATTTTTAAAGTTATCAGCCTGATTTTTAAAGTTATCAGCCTGATTTTTAAAGTTATCAGCCTGATTTTTAAAGTTATCAGCCTGATTTTTAAAGTTATC